CCTTAACGTATAATTTAATGGAGACAACTCCGTTGCTACATTTCACGTGGCCAATTCCCGAGGCTTCCGTTCTCATGCTCCTTGTCAGTTCTTATCAACTGTTGCCACCTCCTGTCACAAATCAGGTGGCCCTCCTTTCCAGAGCCCTTTAATACCTCTTATGGTTAGCAGCTGTTATCACTTCCTATCACTCACCAGAAATGTTCACGTCCTGTTCCCTATATCGCTTCCTGGAACCAACGCCCCACTGTTACTGTGGCCCGCGCTATGAACTAGATAGTGCTCTCCTTCTGATTGTTCCCTACGTTACTGTATTGTATGTTATTGTACTGTATATTGTGTAAATGTTTCGTGAGTTATTGCATGGTATCATTACTTATTACTTGTTATGGGCGCAGTTCGGCGACGGGGGCATTACGGTAAAACGTGTCAACTAAAAAAACGCTTTCTAGATGGGTCGACACATCACTGGGAAGCAAAATGCCCTAGCTCCTCCCCCGTCGCCGAAGTGCGCCCTTGTCATGGCTCCTTGAGCACCTACGAGAAGAACAATGATTCCGATAGCCTACGTTTTTCAACAGGGGTTTCAACAGGGGGTTATTCTGTGCCCTGATCACGAAAATAACATTCTATTTCGGCACTGGCGCCGTTTCGGACCGTTTGTGACTCAGGCAAAATTTGGCATCAGTAGGCATCAGTTTGAGGCTACATATAAATTGAAGCGAAAAGTTCATTTTTATTTCCAAACGTCTCCTTTATTACAGGTCTATTATGCATTTGAAGAGTCATCTCTTAGCATGCGATGTTGGTGCGGTCCACAACGAGGCTTTATCATGCATATTGTTGATAATTTTAATAAAGTTAGTTTGCTATTGGTTATCTGATCATTCTTGTTCTACTTCAACCGTTTCCAGGAAGTTATGCGTGTCACGCGTCCCTTAAAATGTTGTGGAGGAGGTAATGCCGATCGATATATTGATCCATGGACAGTACAGTAACCAGGCTGCTTTAGGATGCGGTGGAATTTTTGCCTGCATCGATTGCTGCAGCTACAAATGCAATGTTGAAGCTCCGCCTGGGAATTTTGTGAGTTCTACAGAAAAGAGTTTCAAGATCATATCCCTGGTGAATTCTTTCATAATCTAAGCCTCATTGGCAACCGCGGCCCAAAACTGTCTCTGCAGCCAAGAAAGAGCAGGTGGTAGATATTATTGACCGACCTGATGAATTTTTTCCTATAGAAATGAAGAAATCCTATGGTAAGGACCGTACCTTCTTCATGGTCATCGCCGGTGTCTTCAAAGCCAAAATCGATTCCAGGAGAATTGCTGAAAACTTCATTTTGGCGCTAACGAAACAGATTAGAATGAGCAGGGTGAAAGGCTCTCCAAGTTTGTCATGTCGACAAACACCATCCATGGTAACGCTCCAGAAGTCCTACTCATGGCGCTAGACGTGGGAGTCTCCTGGTGGACAGTCTCAAAACGAGGCCAAAGGTATCTCCTTCAATTGAAGATTCTGCCATATGGAAATCACTGTTGCTCTGTTGCTTCGCGCTAAGTTCGCACACGGGTCAGACCACCCCTCTCCGCGAAAGAATTGCCGTGTTCGATGTGAGGAGATAGAGGTTTGATTTCAAGTTCAGGAAAGTTCAGGAAGTCCCGAAAGGTCCCCCCCCCCCTTTTTCCCCCCCCCCCAAATTTTTTTTGGGACGGCTATACTTTTCCGCACTGGTCCTCTGGACGGAATCGTTACTGACATCGACGAGGAATAGCGAACGGGTTTTGGTGAACCATCTTCCACGATGCCGCACGCGAGGCAGAGAGTCCATTGATTACCACGCTCTCCGGAAACTCTTAACATGAGCCAAAGGTGGTAAGCCATCCCGAGCCTTTGACAACTACCCTGTGAAACCGAAGAGGCTGGGAAGAGCATCCGCGAAGCCCGCCAAGAGTTGAAGATGAACTGCCTGTGGAAAAAAAAACACAGTCACTGCGTCCCATGCGTATTGAGGGAGGTTATCTGCGGATTTTGGTCTGATGCCGGGGAGGGGGAGGGAAGAAATGGGGTGGGACGGAGCGTTACTTCTCAGTCGCGGCATCGTGATCCTAGCAGTGTTTCGTTGGGTTGTTTTCCTAGTTGACTGGAAATACAAAGAGGAAACTTTACTAGACAGACACAGACAAAAATAGGTTCAACTTGAACGACGCAGACACCAGCAGAGTCGAGAGTCGACGTGGAGCCGCGCTGATTCGTCGAGTGGACTGGGTCCTAGTGGGAATACTGCGTACGTCATCCCACTTGCAGCGCCTATTTCGCCGCACGACCCAACCCATTCTGCTGCAGCGCGTCGACTCTTTTGACTCTCTCTCTCTCTAGGTCTCCCAAGTCGACCTGCACTCTTTGTGTCTGCTCTGTCTACTAGGTAGGAAATACCCTGCCTGGGCGCGCGATACCGCGAGTGGGAGGTAAAGACGTGCACCTAACCCTGTGACAGCCATGTCCTCTTGCAATCGTGTCGCTATAGGTAGGAAGAACCTCATTCGTCCATTTCGTGGAATAAGGAAAGTTTGACGGCTCGTGCACGTTACTATCGTCAGCTGCGCTACAAAGCTACCTCAAGGCTTAACTTGTCAGTCCCACTTGCCCATATTATCTCAGAGCTAATAACACACAAGATTATAGATGCGGTGTACAGTATCCTGGGAATCGCGCGTGGAATCAAATGTTTTGGCCCGTGAACGCACACGACTGGGCATCCGTGAGCCGTGAAAGGAAGCTTGAGTCCTACCCCAGTCAAAAACTACATTTCGCTTGGCAAACTCGTCGGAATGCACATGACTGGGTATCCATGAGGCGTGAAAGGAAGCTTCGGCGACTCAGAAGGTGAGAGCGCCCATGTGTACGCAGGAGCAGCCCTGGCGGAAAGTGAGTGGTGCTTAATGCACTCTCTGCTCCCATGCACTGAATTCCACGCGCAATTTAGGGTACTATATCCCGCCTGCTTCTCTAAATTTATAACTGTTTGTTACGCTGTCATCAACTCATTCTACAGCCTTTCAGATCGGCAGCGTGATGCAACGTCAAGCATGCTGTGCCAGCAGCTTCGACATAATAAATGCAGACGGCCAAATGATTTTAACAATTGATGGTCCCTTCATTGCTTGTGGTTGTAACGTCGAGTTTCCGGTAATTATCAGTCCATACTTCTATCTTCGAAACAAATGAGTTGTCATGCGCTTTGCTAAAATTGCTCAGAAGATGAAAGATGATAGGGCATGTCTGAGAATGCCCTTCAAGCGGACTAGCGCAGATGTTTATTCTTATTTATCACTTACAAGACATCTGGCCCAACCCCCCATGTATCTTTAAGTTGTTTCCAAAAAAACAATGTGAATCTGTCGAGTCTGAATGCTAAAAAGCCGCTGTTTGTAGGTAAAAACGTCGTCTGGTGTCCCTTGCGGTAACATAACGAAGAAATGGCGTGGTATGCTCCGTGAAACGTTCACAAATGCGGACAAATTCAGCGTGTCGTGTGAGTTTAGGTTTTCTGCTTTTTACAGTAGTTCTGTTGGAATCAGTGTCAGGGCACATCGTTGTTGGGAATTCTCCAACAGAGGGTGGGGTCGTAATTGGTCGCAGGGAGAGAGGGAGGCGTATTTGGGCCAAGAAAAATTTTTTCCTGGTCAATTTTTCTTGTTCTAGGAACGTTGAAAGGGAAGGGGTGGGGGCGTATTTCCTCTCTGGCTCCCTGAGAGAGGTTGCTGACATTTTGTGGCTTTTCCTGTTTCA